TACTGATGATTTCCTGAGCTTTTTGTGGTCTCCTTATCAGTGTCATTTATAGTATTCCTTCCTTGTTTCTTGCTCATTTTCCATATTACAATAAGGTTACAATTATAAATGCTTTACGCCCATAGAAGGACGAACTCTCAGTACAGTGCTAAAATCAATTTTACCACCCACCGTATTAAAATAGCTTAGCAATGTTATTGTTCGATAAAATAGAAGATCTATGTATGAATACATCTAAGTTTAAATACACATATTACCTCAAGACACCTCCCAATTTAAATAAATCTGCACCGACCGTCTATTATCTCGCAATTATGCATCTTAAGCTGCTTATCAACATAATTAGTTTTCGGATATAAGATAACTTTGATCCGCCAATCTGAGAACAATAGCTTCTATGTAATAATCAGCTCAACTATTGGCTTTGAATATCCAAATTTTCAAGCGACAATGGTTGTAAGGTTGAGAGTGTACTCTACTTTACAGTTTTTGGTGTGTGCGCTTCTGAAATTGGCGATTTAGAAAATTATGTAATAAAAAAAACCTCTCGGTTTTGTGCGCTGAAAAAAATGGTACAGTAGTAATCACTGCGTTGTACTCTGCGGTGAAATAAATAAGATATGCACTTAAGTTTAGCTAACCAAACTGACATCATCAGATTTTATTGACTTTATGGCATAGTACATGTCACATTGTGACAATCTATTTTAAAAATCTGAAGCAATGAAGTATCGCATTGTAATGATTTATCTAAGTACAAGTTGAACGGTATCAAATTCGTTACTCTCAAGAAATCTCCGATCAAATGTCCACTGTGGAATAAAAAATGAAGTTAATAGCACAAAACAAAGTCACTTTAACCTTTTCTACACATCTAATTGGCTATCTCATTACGCAAAACTTTACACTGCGGGTAATCTTACACGTGGTTTTTAAGAACTTGTACAAAAAGTGCAGCTAATTACAGTAGTTTAGCACCTTTTTGTCGTCACTTTATAGACCATGTAAATTGCAGTTCCGGCTTAAGTCAACACGATGCATAATTTTCTATTGTAGCCGTGTAAACAATAGTGAGATAAACACGTTCATTGTATCGGTACAAGAGAAAGTTCACGTACAATGTAGATAGTAACTTGTCGCATCTGATTTCCTGATTAACAATTCCCCTTCAAAATGACAGATTAATTGCAGTGAATTTAGTCTTTGATCTTTGATTAACCGTATTTACTCTGTTAAAATGACCAGGTATTGATTTGAAGCAATGATAAGCTGTGATTATGAAGAGCACACGACGATATTCAAAATTACTTTTTTAAAAATTTAATTTTCAGCCCCGAGGCTGTTTTAGTCCCTTGGTTGACACAAGATAACGTTGTATTTGCTTCCTAATCAAAATTTGCAGACTTGGCGACTTCTTTCTTACCAAGTCATTTGTAGTTAACAGTAAAAGAATAGGTCCAAGTGGATCACCCTGTCACCAACCATTATCACTTACTAATTCAATATTTGATAACACACATACACCATCTTATAGAATATTACTACAAAATCTACACAACCTTTCATCAGTTTGTTCCGCATAAAACTTGACTTCTTTTCTGCAAATACGGGGTTTACACAAACATATTTAATGAGCTTTAGGGGTATTCTGATTTGTTGATTTTGAAATTTAGAGTGGACAGTGAAATTTGCGGAATGAATACGGTACTTGACCTTGCTTGTTGGGGTCAACGGACATCTTATTTGCAAAATGATGACCGGCTGTCGGGTAAGGCGCCATAATAGGTAGTCATTATGCCTTTCAATTCGACACTTTGTTATCAAAGATTGCTCGTTTTGTCCACAATCCTTGTCAATCAAAAAAAAAAATTTAAGAGACCCGAGTTTTTCTGACCCCTGGTCATTTAACTATTGTCCACTTGTCTACTCGAACCTCTCGCTTGTATGAACATAGACAAATACAGAACTTAGCTCTCTAAATATAATCTGCCATATTAGTTTTTAATATAAGTGATCATTTATGAGTTGATGTTTGTTTTTGATAGTCTATTTTGGCAACTTGAATACATGATGGAGCACCTTTAATAAATGAATTAAGACCCCATTCTATCAACAACATAATGCAAAGAGGCAGATTAGGGACACTTTTGACCCTTTTAAAGAACAGTCTCCCCTCACTAAAGGAGGATGCTTTTGTTCGGATGTTGTTTTCTTGATATATTAGTTCAAAATATGTCCACACAATTTAGAAAATGATTTAGCAACTTCAAGCGAAATGAGGCATAAAATAACTTAATAATGTTTAACTAAAAACTGTTCCACGAGACTAAGCCATATATAAAAACTTTAAAAGAAATTCATTCGTCCAAAAGATTAAAATATTTTCTTATTTTTCAAAATCAAATTGACAATAACATTGCACTTAGTCAAGAAAGACAACAAAGGTGGCGACATATTTGAAATAACTAAAAACGTCACTTTTACGTCACGCTGTGAACCATTCTTGTTGTATAACAAATGTTAGGCGACAAAAAGAGAATTCATTGAAAATTCCATCAAAGCTTCAAAGCTTTTGACTCCATATTTTTGAACCCTTGAAAACATAGTTTTATTTATCGCAAAATTCATCGCTGTCGTAATGTCCCTCTAAAGTATTGTTGTTGGTTTAAGTTCTTTTAGAGGCAGACGATCGTGAAAAATCTTAGCAGTAGCTATGTATCCATAGCATTGCGGTTTGCTTAAGCTACATTTTGCGTCTGAAAGTAACCAAAAGTTTACTTAGAGAGGACAGAACAGGCACCATGCAATCGTACCAACAAGTGTCTTGTTGGTGTAGTAGGAGGCTAAGAAAATCAAAGTTAGGTGAAATGGTAACTTGTGGAGATGATTTTAAGCGATTGCTTGGAGTTGAGATGTTAACTGAAAATGATTTTTATATATATGGTGTTCCATACTCCTGTTTACACCTGCCGCTTAATATGGTCTGTTATATTAACACTTTTACCCCTAATGTAGTGTATTAATGTTTTAAAATTCCCTCAGCTACTGAAGCACAAAATGCATCATCAACTAACATATTGCATTTCTAATTGGAAAGATGAGCCTTAGGGGCAAAGTCATTAAACCACCTTTTCAACCCCTTTCATCCTTTCAGGTATAACATAAGACTCTCACGACCCCTCCTTCTGTACACCAAATTAAAGATGACGTTTGCAGGTCTACATCACACTGTGTAAAACTAATATTTGAAATTGACTCATGCTAAGATAATAACACCTTAAATCAAAATAAAAGACACGTGATTGCTATTATCTTTATGCAATCTTCTCTATATTTTAGTTGTCAAATTCCGCTACGCCAGCTCTGTATTTACTTTTAAAAATAATCCCAGATACACCTTTAACCCTTATATCGAATGCCAAATCATTTTCATCATTCCACTGCTCTGATAATTCATATAAAGCTTGGCTAGATTATAACGTCACACTGCTATTGTGACAGCGATGTAATAATCTCTTTTTTTCCAAGAATTTTCCAAGAATTCTAGGAAGTTTGGTTGTCCCCCAAAAACATGCAGGTTTAGGCGACTATTTATATTGTTTGAAGAGCCCCAATAACATGGTGCTGCTATGTCTCTGGCATACTTTGGACAAATTTTAATAAACTTCTTTATAATTTATTTTTATTTATTAACAAAACTATTTTAAACCAATATTTTTATTTATTCAATATTTGATGTTTTATATAGAATGTTTTTAAATGCATTCAAATATTTAAGATTTAGACGATTTTAAACGAGAATGTAGTAAGTTATTATGTGTGATTATATTTCAAACTGAGTAATTGCAGAAAATTATTTTTAGATGTGATCTCTCCGTTTATCCACCTGTCAACGTTAAGGCATTCAAAAGCATATTGCAAATACCCAACACCCGCCTAAATGAGTCATAAAACTCTGTCCTTGATAAGATCATGGAACTAAAAATCCAACTTTAAGGTTTGCTTGCAAGATTATTGGCTTTAGCAAAAAAATCACAATCGAAAGAGTTACCGCCCCTTTTGAAATGATCTTCAAAATGGCAGACACCCTAAAGTAATTACAAAAGAACAAAATGACATTAAACCTAAATACGGACTTGTCGTGAATTTAATTTTTCTTTAGATGAGATATTCTGATAAAAATGCAGATTTATTGTAATTGAGCAGTTTGATCTTAGACTTTATGATTAATATTAACGATTAAGGATTGGTCTTTTTTTTTTTTGAGTGATGATCCCATTTTTTGCATTCTTAATTATGTTTTCGACTTTACATTGTTAAAAAAAACACTGTTATTATATCTCGAAGAAAACATCTTCTACTACAGAGAAGTAAGAATTGAAGCAACTTAAAAAAATGTCTATCTCTTTAATTTTCAAGAAGTGCTGTTTTGGATGATAATGGTTCTTCTTCTTTAGTCAAATTTTCTCTTTTCAGAGAAATAGACGGGATAAGTCATTAAACACGTAGACATAGACTGTACCCGTTCATACCCTGTTAACTCCCTATTTCAACCCTAAAAGAAACCCTAATTGGGCTTTTGACATTTATCGGGTCACTGTCTTCATTATTGCAAATTTTCATTACGTAGATACCGATCGAAATTATCCGACAACGTATCAAAATTTCCATATTGTAGCTCATTAAAAATCATGATATTGTTACACAATTTCGCTCTAAGGCTCCATATCTATGGAGTTTTACGAATTTGATTTTGATCCAGGCGATATTGACTGAGTTTTTAGTTTTTTAGTTATTCCACTTACAATATTAAAGCGTTTTGGGTTTTTCGGGAGATAATCGCTATAAAAATGTGAGAAGGCCATTGCTGTAAATTCACAATTTTCCTTACGTTGTAGCCAAATTTCTTTCTAAAGACATTTTCATCTTCATTTTTTATTGCGTATATTCATTGAATCATTGAAGTTAACTAAATGTATGTTCCATTTCTACTTTCAGTTTGTATATCCAATGGACCTCTGGGTATGATCACTGGCAGCATCCATGATTGGCAAATAACAGCTTCCTCCACCTACCCGCAGAACTGGGATAAGGGCTGCCATGAAAAATATGCCAGAGTATATTTACCCAATAAATATGGTTGGTGTGCCAAGTACAAATCTTCATCAGAATGGCTCCAAGTTGATCTTGGAGTTGCAGCTAGGGTAAGTTGCTTGATTTTAATTCTGAAACATTGTCAATTATAATTGAGTTTAGTGTGATTAGTAGTGTTAACTATTAATTTTCTCGTGTGCGAAAAGTCGAGAGCAGTAATACCCACAGCCAGCTTCCATAAAAAATATATTCCCGCCACCACAATTCTCGTGACGATCATGTGAGGATATACAATGACGAATACTATGACTTGTTGAGTCAGTATATAGATAGTCACATTCCTTAACTTGTCCATCACAAACCGCAAATCTGAATTGTTCCTAATCAATAACCAGCGTTGAGCTATGTTCTATGTACTGCGTTTGGTAAACCCCATAAAGATTGACTGCCCAAGTTGACGTGTTTCTTTTGTCTGTGTCATGTTTACGACTCACAAAACAAGTGGAGCAAAATTTCAAGATGGTCCCTTAAATTTGATACGAACCCTGAAATGCATTCAATCAAAACTAGATGATATCAATGTCTTTTAAACTGAAATATTTTTAACCTATGTCTCGTTAATCAAGGTATACATCTTCAGCTTCATATAGGCTTTAAATATCTGAGATTTTTTACACTATTGTATTTTGAATATATGGCATATCGGGTAACGTGAAGTTATAGGTTTTAAAATGAAGCCCTTGTCGTATACCGTCTTGTAAGGAAATAAATAATTTTACTCGAAACATTATAGTCAACACCTTTTATCTGGGAGGGTTTTACTTACTGGCGAAATTTAGAATATAAATTGGTGAATTTTTGCATACTTCTTTTCTGGACCACTCGCAAAATCACTTACGCCTTGCAATGAAAGACCATGATCTTAGAATTTATTGCGTATATATATCTTGGTTTTAAATGGAAGTTCATAACGTCATTGACCATCATAATTTGATAGAATAGCGTTGCACATCCAAAATCCATTCTAAGAGAGAAATCTTTGCATTGCCGTGGTCTGCCCAGATGCTCCTTTCTTCTCCTGTCGACTTGGAGCATTCGACAGCTGGATAACTGATGAGTTCTCGCTTATAAATCTGACCCGTATAAACCTAATATGCTCCTTTCTCGCTTTTATGAAACCAAAATAACTGTTTCATATTAAGATTGGGTGATAGTATTCAAGTTGGCTTATCATTGCCTTATCGAGTGGATCTTGGGATTGGTCAGAAATGAATATCATAGTCCTTTTTGTCACCTTCTTGATAAATGAGCGCGGAATTTATACGATAGCGCACTAAATAGCACAGGTCATACCGAATGCTTTTACAAGCCCATCTGAAAAACATTTGACTTCCATGGTCTACCCGCTCATATGACTTTTGCACAAAAGTAATCACGTTCCATGGAGCCTCCTTGTGTCCTTGTAGCTATAGGTAAAGAGTATGATAATATCAAAGCCGTTCAACTGACAATTTTTTCTTATTAATAGCCATTATCGTTCTCATTGTTCAAATCCTTACCTTTTTTGCATATTTTCCAGGTCACGGGTGTCATGACCCAAGGTCGTGGTGATGGCGTCGAATGGGTTACGTCATACATGATTTCTTACAGTATGGATGCTTTCCATTGGCAGTATGTTACTGATCACTATGGTAACCAAAAGGTAAGAATCCACATCCGTTTGAACAAAGTTCTGGCATAACTGGATCGAAGAAATAATAAAAACCGGAAGTAGAAAACAGTGGCTGTGTGTGGTGTAAAAATTATTTTATATGGCAATACTCCTTCTGGATTATTCTCAAAACTGGTAGATAAATCAATTGTCAGATTTCACACATCGAGAGGTACCCACCCCACACACAAGTTTGATCTCAACACAAAGATACTAAAGGATTGTCAAGACCTTCTGTTTCTTGGTATACAACTTAAAAATATTTTAGAAGATATAAAAGATAAAAGAAAATTAACAAAAATCACCTGTTAACGCATTAGCGAACAATTCATGGAAAACACAATGTTTTATTATATGGGTCATGAGAAGATGATTTTTTTTTAAATCTGAATGCATTATGATGATTATTGAAGATTATTTTTATAATTTTAAAGGCGCGTAATCAAACGAAAAACTATAGAAGTGCCTTGCCTGGTGTCGCTCGTTCACAGAAACCACAGAAGTGAATAAGTTCACCGGATTAAGAGTTAATTAAACTAAACCCCGATTAGTGTTTAAGGACTGAATATGTTGATGAGCGTTAACTAAAAGTTTGTCATCTTTTTGATTGTGTCTTATGATGATGGTTTTATCATTTTATTTTTCTGGTTGGAATTTGTCCATTTGATATCCCTCAACACAGCACTGAAACTCGGATAATTATTGGAGATAAATTTACAATTTGAAACTATCCAACAGTGGGTGATACTTGATGGAGAGTGCGCTCTGAGATGTTTTTTTAACTTTCAATAGCGTATCTCGTATCTCGGCATGTCGAGTAGGGCTAAAATAAACACTTACGGAGAACATCATTTTTTGTCAAGAGAAGTGCATTTATATTAAAAGATCTTTATTATTTTGTATTCTATAAAACGTCATAAATTTCGATTGATAAAAGAGAGAATTAAGGGATATAGTGTAGGTCGCTAGTAAGTGCACATGGAGAATAGGAAAACCTTGTAATGAATACCAGTAACCTTGAAGAAAGATGACGGATGTAGAGAAAGTCGCGAGTCATATTGTCACGTAACAAAGATCTGGGGTATGATTTTCCTTAAAATTAAATGGGTATTTCTGAAGTAGGCGAATTATGAGATGTGGAGTAGGTCGCGAGTAACCTACAAAGTGTTGTATGCAAAAGGAATATTAGAACGTATTCTTACAAAACTTCATGATATGAAGTGTAAATATCAAATATAATTCAATTATGAAATATGAAAATACACACCCATAAGTTGCCTAAAGGAATCTGAAGTGTGTTCAACGGTCAAATAGCTCACCTTGTACCTAAGTGTATGTCTACATAAGTATTAAAACATATTGGTAGGTAATATTATAGATAACAACATATACCTTTCGTACTCAGATAACCAACATAGTCCGATTCTCTGATTCACAGATCATCTTCGTAGCTTACTTCCCTTTCTGAATTTGATTGTTTTGCATTCGAAATTCGCTGATATGGAAACCCGATATAAAATATGGTCTTCAACAATTGGATATGATTTTTAAACTATCTTTCGTTTAAGTGGAGCTAGAAAAAGGCCTGATGCTACGTTAAGATGAGTTCAGTTTCTTGATCTTCACTACGTATAATTCCGACCTTCAAATCGTGAGAAATGACCTTCGATCTTTATTTTGGTTTTCTGTAATAGCCACTCATATAGATCCTAATATAGCATTGGTACGATATTAGACGAATATAAACTTATATGAAACATTACTATTAATATCCCTTAAAGAAAAGAAACTGAACATTCTTTCAAAACTATTGCCGCCATATAATTTTATTTCCCAAACTTGACTACATTCCTAAATTGTTTTCTTTCCTTTATTAGCCACAAGTTACACAATGTTATTATAATAATATTTTAAGAAAAAATATTGACAGATATAAAGTGATTGAGATAGAAGAAAAGAGTTTTATTAAGATGGGCAATAGCGATTGACATTCGAACTTCATATTCAACGCCCAATCTTTAATAGTGCGTTATTTTATTTCTTGACCGAATGCAAGTGACGTTGCAGTTTTGCAGAATGCTTTTTAGTGATTGTCGACTCTTGATTCCATGCTCTGGTTTGGGTGATATTATATTGTAAATTCGTTTACTGTGGGATAACTCACAGACTGAAGCGCCCACTTTTCTTAATTCTTGCATATTGCCATCTTCACTAAAAAGATAAATGCAAGTATACAAGAATAATTAAGATAAGTGGTATATTTCAGAATCTCATGTGTGGAGTCTGAAACGTTACTTCTGTTACACTTTTGTGGAAGGTCGGTCTTAGATACATTTGCTAATATTTTAATTTTCGCATATTACTCAAATTAGTATTGCAATGAGCTTACGTCCATCCACGTTAACTCAAACCCGAGCGAATTCATAATAATGATGATTTTTTCCAATATTTTGATAATAAATCCCAAGGTCACTGTTTTTATGTTTTGTTATGAACATAATCCGTTTATGGCTTTATTCAGAAATGGGTAAATATAATCATGTTCTAAAAATAACTTAATGTTTTCGTCATCCAAATCTTGTTATGGGATTTTATTAATCAAAATATAACCCTATTGTCTAAATCTCGTGGGAAGAAAACGGGGGGGCATACGGCTCAAGATTCTATTTTTATCTATGACCACACCTTTGATTCTAATCTCTTTAATATTGGATTTTTATTTTTCCACTCTCCTAAAAATAGGCTCTTGACATGTGACCCACGCTAATATTCCTTCGTTTTCTGACGTCAGAAACGCATATTGTTGGGCAAAGATAATAAACGCAGATTATATATTAGATATCTTATAAAAATATATCTTATTGAAATACGATGTCCATATTCTACCCATATACTGTAACGATAGTATTTTCAATTAATCTTTTTATTTGTCCTGCTTGATCAAAAACCGAAACGAAATCAATTTTCCGTTCCATGCCTTGAGTTGTGAAACTTTATACTTTGATTAATATTCAGAAAATGACGTTAAATTCTACGGATGGTATATTTGATAGTTTGATCATTGATATAAATCTTTTAAGTACAAATATACATTGAACCTGAAGTAATACATAAAACAAAATAATAATATTACACTAGTAAGAATATAAAAAGTAAGTTGAGTGATTATATTGTGGGTAACCAGTGGTGTTTCTAGCTGGGGGGAGCGTGAAAGAATGGCCTGTGCCTACACTCCCCCCCCCCCCCATCCTGTGGCCGTGGCCCCTGCTCGACCCCCCTAACCTGATGAATCCCGCCCCCTCTCCTGTGGCCCCTGCTCGACCCCCCTCACCTGATGTTTCCTGAAAACTGTGGATAAAGAAAAGTCGTTCTTAACGATTGACAAGAGCAATGTGCTATAGCAGTTTGGATAAGGAACTCAAATGAAAGTTGACTTAATATGATGGAAAGTGAACCATGTATAACGAGATTACTTGAAAGTTTGAGTGCAAGTATATATCTTGTCTCTTTCTCTGGAAGCCTCCGAAACCCCTGGTCTCAAGGGGCTTTGGCCTTCGGGTTCCGTCTCAGTGAGATACCTCTCATTTTCGTCTCCCTTCTCAGGCATTTCCTAGATACGCCTCAGCCTATTACTTTTTTAGATGACCGGAAACGGAAATCAATCTCTCTCTAATCCCAGAAATCAAACCAATAGTAGTCTGTGATTAAGTTATGGAAGAGTTAGGAAATAAAGATAAATAAAAATAATATTGATATTAATTATGTTCTGTATGTTCTAAATGAACACATCTCGTTATAATTATACCAGGTATTAACGTGTCATAACAAACCACCAGGTGTCGCTTTAAACATTGTTTATTTATTATTATATACCACCCCGAGATAAAATATAAATAAATACCACTTGGTATACTTGGTATTATATATACAGTTAAAAAAGGGATTGGGTTGTTGGGTATAAGTCTTCGCTATTACTGTTAATTGCAAGATATAATTGCACCATGGGCTATTCAAGCATATTTCGGCAATGGTTGATAAGTCTAAACAGCCATCCAAACGGATTGTCTTCTGAGAACGTTATGTTTATATTCGATATTCGATCATTCCTTAGGGGTACTATTATGTCATCGTTATTTATAAACTATGAATATCTTCCAAACATTTAGTTCCTCCATCTTTCGTCACTGACTCTACAGAATGATGATACTGTCTCGTTTAATTTTAACCCAGACGTCTTACGAAAGTTTTTGTTCTAAAAATATCCAACACATCCAAAAACTTTTATGACATGTTAGTTTGTACGTTAATGACCTTCTTAGAACAAATTTTACTCCTGTCATTCAATTTAAAATACATTTAAAACTGGTACTATAGAAAGCGATAGTCTCGGCGTTTTTCAGTGTGGTATTTTATTTATTCAGCTTAATATGGAGGGCGTTCACCACCTAATTATCAAATCCTTCGTAATTATTTCTTAAGACATGTCAAAATATTTTAACATATTTTCTTAAAAGATTTGTTGGCTTTAGAATTTTGTGTACATTTTTATTTGAAATGACACATCCGTAGGATTTGAGAACTCTTGTTTCAATCAATGTTGTGGATTTCAAATATTTGAAAATGAGAATATGTAATAGTAAAATGAGATATTCTAGGGTTATTTAGTATGTACTCGTAGGAAGCGAGAGGGTGGTAAAATATCACTTTACATATTGAAACAGTGTTGATTTTTTACTCTTCAATCGGAAGTGGTATATGCTCATATACACAACGTCATTCAAGAGAATAATTAGTTAACTAATATTCATATCATATGATCGGTATGTCGGTTTCAATTCGTTCCAGAGATACTGGGGGGTTTGACGTTACCTCTCCACCGTCATCCCCTCCTTTCTCAGGAAAGCCCAAAGTGTTACTGATTAGTTCTTCCCCTTTCTTATGACACGAAAGGTTTTGGTATGTAGATCTATTGGAAAAACAAATTTATTATTTATCAGCAAACACTAATCATTATTATCATATCTTTAAATTACAGGTGTTTGAAGGAAATGCTGATTCCTATGCCGTACGCCATGCCTACCTCGATACTCCTATTATTGCCAGATATATTAAATTTCATACAGTACAATGGCATAGACATCCCAGCATGAGAGTAGAGGTTCTTGGTTGTCAATGTAAGTATATAAATGTGTTAAATGTACCATCACATTAATCTAAAGTACCAGTCTAAACCACCCAAAAGGATCATTCCATGTTTCATGGTTTCATTTCCATCCTTTTTGGTGTATATGTCTTGAGTAAGGATTCGAAAGTGCTTCTTTGAGTCTGTGAATACGTCATATCTTGGAGAAATCAGTCAGTCTGAATTATGCTTGACATTTGACCATTAATAGTTATCCTATGCTGTCGATGACCAAATATCGCCAAAATGAAACGGCAACATATCAGACAATGATCTGGATAGCAATTTTTAGATCTGTCTTTTCCGTTTCCCTGTTTCAAGCTCCTCTGGTGATTTTTAATACAGCCACTGACATATGTGTAGGTTAAAATGCTGACTTTTCTGTTTTAGTATGTAAGGAACCAGTAGGATTACCTCCCTATGGTAAAATAACAGCTTCCTCCAGTAGGAAGTTTAAAAAGAAGAGTTCGTGTCAGCCAGATGATGGTAACATATTCAGTACTAAAGGCTGGTGTCCAAAGAAACAAGACGGTATGTGTATTTAAATTATTTAGCCACGGGATTTAAAATGCAAATATTTTGCAAAGAGACAATCATATCAAGAAATTGTAAAACATTTAGTGATTTGTTTCATTTTCAACCGTGTATCTAGATCGCGTAACCAGATTAGCATCATCAACAGTAATTAATACCAGACATTTGCTTATTTTACAACCACTAACCACACATATCAAAATATAACACAAGCGAAGCATAATAATATACATTTGCACCAATTGACGTTGAAAATATGTCTTAGAAGCTGCAATTATTCAAAATTTATCTTTATTCGTAATTTGAGTTAATTGTTAAAAATACCAAAAATACAATTTTTCATCATAAATAATAATGTAAATTACATAATGTACGAAAATCTTTTTGATGTAAGGACAGTATCCCACTTGGTGTAGAATTAACCTGGCGCCAAAATACATATTCTTAGCAGAATTGAAAATGCAGACATCGTCTGGTACATTAATTGGTCGCCATTTTGAATATTCTACTTAAATATATAAGAAACAGACACTGACTGCATTATTATTTCTAATTAGCATACAATTTGAAAAATGGCACTTTGAAGTAGATCACGTTCTGAAAACACAACCTAGTTACTGCTATTGCAGCGACTTCTACTCTACTTTCATATAGGTAACACAGTGGTTTCGTTATTCCTCCTGCGCCCAGAGAGGACCCAAGCTAAAAAAGCCATGTACGCTTGAATGAAGAAATTTGATGTTATGCTAAGTCAAAAATACGCTTACCATTCTTTGATTGTCTTGGGGAGTTTCACCCTTGAGTTTTTGGACAAGATTTAATGGAAATCAATGACACTCTACTCATATCTTTTTCCCTTGGATGTTACCAAATTTAAAGCAAATATAAGAAATTAAGCATACATATAATCTACATATTAAACTAATATAAATGAAATATGTAAAATAAATTTGAAAATTCCTCCATCAGACATGCTTTAGTGAATATATATTATCATAAATATGATATCCTCATTTTGAAAATATGTCACATAAAAACATGGCGGTTCCATTTCAGAGAACATCTAAAGATAAAACTTGATTTAAAATCATTTTTAATACGAAATTATCCTTAAAAAACATGACAGACAATTTTCAAGTACTTACCTTTGTCTGGGCGTCTAATTTCAGAAAGTTTTGAAAAGAATTCATTATTATGGTTGAGTATTCGCGTCCCAGATTTAACAAAAATGACATTCCTGGCTGAAAACATTTGCAATAACATGCATTTTTATAATCTTTTCATGTCATTTATGCATATTTATATGCTTTTGTAGAAACTAATTTTTTTGTTGTATTGTAGGGCGTTATTCACTCAGTCAGTCATGACGAATAACATAGCGATTGCCTCTGAAGCCATCAAAGGAAGGCATAAGTGGAAGTTATTCTGAATTTCTTCTGCATTTCCGCATGCCTTCTTGTTGCTTAACTAGTTTTTTTTTTTGGTCTTCTGTATATAATTTTAAGTTTTCCAAAAGAGTTTCCCCATTCTTGAACTAGCGCTCTGAAAATCACACATTGTGAAACTCTGTGAGGTTCCCTTTGATATTTATAGTTTAATGTTGAAATGCTTTCCAAACTAAAATGGAGTAAAAAGTGTATGCGAAATCACTTATCACCATTTCATTAAATTTGACACAAGTGTAAGTGATTGGTATATTTTAAGTCAGGTTTCTACTTTATATCAGTAATGCCAGTGTATATTCTCCTGTTGCTTTAAACAAATGTTGGATGTCAGAATTGTAATGAATTGTGGCATTTTGTCAGAGAATCTAACACCTTCTTACTTGTTTCTTAATTTTCCGCAAAGATTAGATTATTGTTTTTTCGTCATTGTTCTTTCTTCTTCTAAATAGTAATTTAGTGATTGTATTAGTGATTTACAGTAACACCGAAACAAAGAAGCATAGGTGATGCTCTAATGTAGACGATACGATCATATTATCTAGATCATATGTTTGTTCATACTTATAGTGGGCTTCCGTCATATTTTGGACTTTTATTTTCGTTAATTTTGCTTTGTTACTTAACGATATTTATGATGTCTTGATATTTTAGAGTCATATACATTTTCAGTTGCCATTAACCATTACTGTCCTATTGACATTCTGCTCAAGTCATCCATTTGTTTATCATATAACTTAAAAGGAGCAATTCACAAGATCATTTTCAAAATCTTGCAATCGACCAAATGGCAATAAGTTGTTAGTACTGAATCAATATGACCATATTTTAAAGATTAATCTGGATGTAAACAGGTGGTGAAGTTGATATACACGCATGGTAAATCGTTTATAAACTTCCGTTTCTATACCTTCATTTCTACCTCAAGTATAATATAAGACGAAACGTGCTAAGATCTACATTAATATATTTTAATGTTATTGAGTACATTTATTGCTGAATTGGCAACAGCTAATAGGCAATAATCCGAAAGATTTTCTTGACTCAATCCAAGTTATGGCGATGATTAATTATTATCACCATAGTTTTTCATGTGGTAATGAATTGATGTGGTCGACAATTGCGGATGTAAATACGAAGAATTGCAATGATGATATCTGCAATGTACATCAATGACCATACTTGACAAGCTTAATTGTATCGGTGGTATTGTGTTAAAATTCACAATTCTTTTTCAACCAGTAGGTTGTTCAATTGCTTACTTTTCGGAAATCATCAATTTGGATGAACACAACTGTAAAAAGCATACATCTTAAGCAATATCTTTAAAGTTAGTAACAAAACTTTTAACAATGTGAACATTTTTAAGCCTCACATATGAAGAGAATATGTTCACATTTCAAGTAACCTTGAGGAAAATGCTTGTTGCCCCCACTTTGGTATTTATATCAAATGAAATTGTCTGTTAGTAATTCTAAAATTATACATTATCACATGTTATCAAATATTAGCACATGCGCTAGTTTATTTAATAGTGTTGAGTGTTGGCGAACCGCTATAGTATTCAAATTGACACTTAGAAATCTAAATGCAAAAGTATAACTGACAAATTAAAAACTAATTATTAATTTTCATGGGGTTTCAAAAATTCGTTTCAAACCTTTCAAAGAATTTGCATAGCGTAAGTGTATATACATGGGACCACTACCTTCAACATCTTATATATTTCATATTATGCATGACATTTGAACATGTTAACAATTTGAAACTATTGTATTTAGTCAAAATACTAAAATATTTAATAAATAATCTACCAATCGGCCTACAAATATGCTTTTTATTGAATTAATGAAAATATACGAGTTATTTTGATGAAAACCACATTTTCAGTACTGTTCGGTTGATTCAAAGCTTCTGGGTGGCTTGTAGATTTCCAATGGGGTAATAGGGTACTATTCAGAAAGAATTTTAAAGAAAATCCAACCAGAGATGCTTCGACATTCTATTACAATAGTGCCTGTCTCAACTGCAAAAATCTACAATGTCAATTGCATATTTGATGCAAAGATATGGTCAAATGACGTCGCCTTGGTCTATTCCTACACCATCAACGTGATACGTTAGAAGACATGTCCTTAAGATTTTTTTCTGCGACTTTGATTTATTTTATTCGACTCGCAAATTTTCTAGGTAGATGAGCATCTATCCTCAAGGTTAAACAAAATTATGAAAAAATGTAGAAAATTTCATAAAAAATATGAAATAATTTCTACTTCTAACAGTGTGAGATATTGTTAGCTTGTCGGTTATAAAAGCCGACTGATTCAATAATTGGTCTTGCTACACAATAAAACGACATGTATTAAGGCCTCCATACATGCGTTTCTTTTGATATTTGGCAAATACAAAGCTAGGGGAATTATAGGCAATTTTCCTGACGAATAGCCCGAAGGAATGAGTTTTGTAAAGATGTATATCCTATTATAAGTTGATTAATATTTTGAAGTGTGTATTAAAGTACTGATATTACAAATTCAATTAATTTATCAGTTATTAACTGCTCGGATAAGCTGGATATTTTCTATCGATGATGCTTGGAAGTTTGCCCGGTTCTCACAAGTATTGAGTTGATGGCAAAAGATGTTTTCAAAAGAGCAATCATGTAGATAGGTTTAGAGCTCCACGATTACAACAATTCAGCATCAAGCAACGCTTACGTTTTTTCACATTTTTACCTGATATTAACTGAACGATAGCCATACTAATCTGGGGTTTATTGCTGAAAATATTGTAATTTTTATGTAAATATCAAATCATTATCTTTTTAAAAGCTCTTATTGAGAAACTTATATTTTGGCTTTTCAATGCTTGGAAATCTTTTGCAATCATTTCTTACTCATTTCTGAGGAAATAACCACATATCACAAATCAGCCTCCTGGAGTCTGTGAGAATTGGATTAAATTTTGAGATGTGTTGATAGGTTTTTTGATCTTACGAAGGATATGTTACAAGAAAAAAAAACACTAACCAATATGGTCTAGTAACCGTCTTTATAGTTCCACCCAACTGAGCAAGAAATATGTCATCTCTCTTTTTCATATAGAGGCATTTAACTTATCTTGTGTGTTTATCTTGAAAGTTAGTTACCTGGTGAATGAATAATAGAGAGCTGTTATTATAAATTAATGTCAAATATTTCAACCATAAAACAGTTTCTCTTTGAATCTCATTATGCCACATCTTACTAAATCGTGATTTTTTGAGCCTTTTATAGTAATTTAACAATAATACATAAAGGGGTTATTACAAGTTCCATAGATTGGTCAAATTCCTTTCATATTTTTGCACAATTTAACAACAATCAGCAATATACACATTGCATACATATTATGTAAAAGCGGTATTAAAATTTAATCGATACATGTATGAGAAAGATTATCTATTTAATCAAATCAATAATGTGAAAATAAGGGGAATACAAAACCCGAATAGTATTTTTCAATCAAATCTTTCACCATGTTGACTTGTCACTAGCTATTAAATTCCTTCTGGTGATTTTACAAAACAACCTTTTTTTGCTTTATTTATATATTTCTTCAATCGGCAAACGATGTACAACAGCATACTCATAATTTTCAAAGGTAGAAATATTCAATGTCATTGTCAAAAACAATGTAAAGGTATGGGCTAAGAATGTCACCTTAGCGCCTTCCAATTTTTTGACATTGTTTATGCGCATTTTATTTTTTCAACCGTAAACATGTCATGTTTTCTAAAAATGAATGAAAACGCCTTGAATTATTACAGTCGCATGTATAACTTTTTCATTTATGCATATTTTATTGCCAAAATTTGACAGAAAGGTCACCGATAAACCTAGTAAAAATATTTTCAAATGCACTACTACAGTGTTTCAGACAGTTGAGCAAATGTGAGCCTTAACCTTCAAAGGTATTGAAAGTTACAGCAGCACACAGCGTCTTTGGCGTAGATGCAGATACTAATCAATTCTCTAAATATGAATTGCATATAGAAGTACCCTTGTAAAATTGAACAGTCATGATAATAGCACATTTTTGTTGAGAAATAATTGTTGAAGTGGGTATTTAAAATTTCAAAATGTTCATACAAATGTTAAGAGGTTGGAGAGAGAGGTGACGTAAGTTAGAGTCACCACGACGAATATGAGCGGTAATTCGTGCAGAGTTGTATTGAGTGTGATCAAACTAGAGAAATTCACACCGAGCGCTCACAGTCAAAAGTCCAAGTCCCTCATTGAACCTGGCCGAATATTTCTAATACTTTGTTGTTAATTGAACGCCTTGAAGACGGCACGTTGTAATTTGATATAGTCAATCAATTGATGAGTGACAATAAGCCACACCTCTTATTTGAAGGACATAGGTATAATTAGTGGCAAGAACTACTACACCCAATATTGTACCCAAAGTATGTAATAGTATTTTAGTCTTTTATACTTACTTGTAGTGTACTAGTTGCTAAGGACTAATTGAATAAGTCAATAAGTTGTAAAGAACGGTGCATTATGGCCACATTTACTTCATAGTATATACACATACCTTAAATTGAAGTCAAAGTTAAAGCAAAATCCTTCTGATACACCATCAATATCAGTAAATAAATATGAACCATTCCAGACATAACATACGTGTTGTTGAATCAGATGATCATCAACAACCATATCAATAAATATTTGGCCGTTTACGACCCTAAATTGTACGATCATACGGATCTTTTACGATCATACGGATCTTCTAACGCCTGATACAGCATTACGTCACTGATCACTAACGTGGTGATTATTATTTTTCATTTAACATTTCAGTAATTCCATATGATCTGGCACCTTGAAATATATGATGTCCAACTTGCAATCAATTCAATTGTTATTCTGGATACCCAATTGTCCAGTCCAAAAACTAATCCTATAATCAAACGACCATATTCCAGTTCATACTGAAATAAAGCTTATCATTAATCTGGAATTTTGAATCATTTCAGAAAATCAGTGGATGCAGATAGATGTTGGTCCACCAACCTTGATTACTGGTGTTATATCTAAAGGTCGTGGTGATACCAAGAGAAATCATTGGGTTGAAAGATTCAAGATCTCTTACAGTAATGATACTCAAGTCTGGTACTTCTATAAGGACGCCCACCATCTTGATCCCAAGGTAAGGTCTTTTTGGTCATCTTTTAACCAGAAGGACAAATGTTCCAGAGACCAGCTGGCAAACAATTAGGCTCTTTTCAGATATATTGGAGCTGTGATTTGTGCTCATAAGGCAGCTATATATGATGAGAAAAGTGAAATCTGTAAACTATAGAACGTATTGATTGGCATTATTGTTCACGGGATCTTTTCCATGTGATGTAATCAGACAAAAATGTACCGTTTTGTCTCACAATCCATACTTTGATGGATTTTCAGACTGTGAAAGACTTAGCACCCAGGTTATGAAGACTAACACCATTAGATCACGATTTAGAAGTACTTCGTGTCAAAAAAACTTGACCCTTCTATTCTTTATTCATTGAGCAATTTGTAAAGAAACGTGACCAGGGTCCAATAGCTGGACAATGACCATTGATGTTAGCATAAGATCGTTTTGCTAGAATAGCACGGGCCACCAAATAAGCTTATTAAAGCAATTGCGATAAGTTTTAATTGTACAAGTTGAGCCAATATTGACAAATTGATTATAGTCCGAATTCATCTGTGAAATGATTTTGTATATGGGTCGCTAAAAATATTCGCGGTATATTTTGAGGTATTGTAATAAACATAAAACCTATTGTGGTTGATTTTGACTTTTTGTCATATTGAATACAAGAGATTACCATATCTATATATTGATATTGTTATTGGTATAGTAAGAAATAGTTGTCATATTTCTATAATGTTATACACTCGAAAACCTAATGAAATATAATATCTATTATAAAACATTATTTAATATCCAAGATTGAAGTCCATGACTTCAGTCCCAGTTTCCATCTGAAACAAATACGAACTAGCAGAAAATCATTGCCAGTTTTTGCAATTTGCTACTTACATAAAAGAGGAGGTCAAACATGCAAACTAGATTTGTGAATATGTTTTGAATATTGTATATTAACATATGTTTTTTTATTGCAGGGTAATAAGCGCAATATTTCTTTACGTTAAGTACGCTATGTCGCCATGTCGCTATCAATTCGCAATAACCAGCGTTTTTGATATGCTGCTTCAAATTCAAAATTGCGAAATTTGCAACGACCCTGCGTGCCGGCTGCGATTCAAAACTTGTAACCGATAATAACTCTGTTTTAACGGCACTCTGTCTCTTTTTAGTCTCTGTTTCTTTAGTTAATATGAAACATTCTCGATTTTCGATGTAACTCTTTTCTACACGTTTTATCTTTTTTTCAATCTTTCAAAAATTCTTATAGAATTCGACATATATCTTATTATAGGCTATGTCTGAAGCTTTTTGGGCATTGGTGCTTTTTTTAGTCAAAACTGTTAGATTTTCTTTGTGAACCAGAATTTGATTTACAATTGTGCCAGGTTAAGATTTCATTACTTCTTTTGTGTTTTTATTAAATACGAAATTAATATTTTTTCTCGACTGTATTTATGTAACAAACAAAATCTTTATAATGTTCCTCTTATTAACGCCTTTTTGTAAAAAAAAATATATTTGTTAAATTATCCCCATTTTTGTAGTAAGGATAGATTTATAAGTACGTAGGCATTTGCTACGCATATAGAAACTGGATTAGGTGATAACATTTTTATATAGATGTTTAGATTTCATTAAAATCAGAGTTCATTTATCGGTTCGGTTTCTGATTGTGAACGGGATAAAAAATCAAATCAACTGGAGAAATTTCTGTTTCCTTCTAATGTATGCGGTAAAAGTTGTTTCCCTTTATCGTGACCTAGGCTTAGAGGAAATGACGCGGATGTCCAGTAGAAGATCGTATAATATAAATGTCTTCCATTTTAGAGTCAGTGGCTATGGAGTCCATCGATTAATACAACTTCCTCAAATCTAATACCTGATAAATACTCCGAAGACGGTCTGGTAAGCTCACTAACAGGTGGCGCGCTATCCTGTCACGTGACACTTCTTTTTTTCTAGGTGGCATTTCCGCACCTTATCAAAAAAAGAGTATCGACCATGATAACCGTCCATCATATCTACATCATGCACTCCATCACTATCATCATCATCAATACCATCACCATTATCGTCATCACCAGCACCTCCATTCTCATCGTCATTCACGTTTCTGTGTGGCTTCATTATTTTCTAAGAAAGATTTTTCATTGGATTAGAAAGGTGCGGGAATGCCATCAATTTTAATTTCTTTTGATGATGAATTTTTCTAAGGGCAATGGAAACAAAATACGAAACTCCAAATAATCGACAGAAAATAAAATAAAGAGTATCTTTTTCAAACTGTTTACCCTTGGTGGAAAAACACAATTTTTGAAATAATTCTTTCAACAAAATGTACTAATTGTTGATTCATGAACCAAAACTTTACACACACACAAATTAGATTAAGAATCGTGAATCAGACCAAAAAAAGAGAGTCGTTGTATTATTTGGTGTTTCGTATTTTTGTCTTGAAACAGTCTTCGCATGTTTCCAGCTTGTATTGCCTACTATATTTTCTATGATATAAAAAGCTTTGTACAAAGTAAAGGCTTTGAACAAGTAACTTATTAAGAAATGAATGACAGAATGATTTCTTTTCTATGCTTTGATAATGTTAATGTTCTTGTGAACCCTTGTAATTACCTCCCTTGAATAATATATTGTGTGCGCATGTTTGAATTCTGAAAGCACTTCCTCTCACTGACCACGCATGCTTATTCCTTCGCATGATGTTATTATCTCCCTTATATATTTATTCCTTACGCATGACTGCACTTCATATATATCCTTCTGGAATTCCCTCTTTCCGACCTTTGTCTCTAATCTCCAGTCTCTCTGTCTTTGCATGGTGTCAGACCTCTTTTAACAGACTCCAAACCCACACTCCAGCACCACCACTAGCGCACGTGACCTTCACCGACCAATCCCATACCAGCACGCACGTCACTTTCAGTGTATATCGGGCATGAAAGTAACTCGTTTTGGCATGGGTAGTACCGAAAAATAGCGCACCTCACCTGAACGTAGTTACCTTGCATCCTTGCATCGTGCAGTTTCGCAGCGCACTCATAGCTAATGATGTTTTTACTAATCTAGTTCTGTTTTTCTTAGCTATTTGGTGGAAACAACGATAAGAATTCTGTTAGAACGCATTTCTTGAATTCTCCTTTCGTAGCAAGATTTATTAGATTTCACCCAATAGAATGGAAGGGAAGAATTAGCATGAGAGTTGGACTGTTGGGCTGTCCTTTTAATGGTAAGTGGAACTGTTCCTACCAGGATTATCGATTGATCGATTTGCGCTTTTTTTCTCATTATTTTTCGTTACTGCCTTCAATCTTATTTTCTTCATTAACTTAAAAACAATTACTTTTCATACAAGAATTTGATTTTATACATGTGAATTTTGCCCTCTGAAACATAAGTTGTATTGTCAGGGCTCCATGGGGCATTTCACGAGTCAGTTTACCAACCCCTGAGGATTTTTGCGCATTGCTATTTAATTCGTGAAATATTTGAAGATATTATATAATACAATAATTATATATTTACGACAACCGAAGAAAGGAATTATTTTACATTAGATGGGAAACTAAATGCCATTTTGTACGAAACTAAAGAATTTTTATCGTCTGTATCTCTATTCCCCGCCACCTAGCGTCCACCATTGACATATTGACATGGTTGCTGATCCTAAAAGGAATTTCAAGTTGACAGTCTGCCATTTTGACATGTTGAATAGACTTTAAGACATAAGTAGTCTTACAATCCTCAGCTTAAGCCCAACAGGTGGTCAGAGAAAAATGTTCGGTCGTCCTGTTTTTTTTTTGGTAAAAAGAATATAAAAAGACAGGATTTACCTTTGTTTTGCCAGAGACGATTTTTGAAAATTTGGAAATTATATTTTTTAACCACAATGATCACTAAAGATACTGATTCGACCATATGAAATTCTTACATTTATGTGACAGAACTTTCGCTTACCTAGTTTGTGTTTGAAAAATGTCATCATACTGATCAACCACCATCAAAACTACCATCAGCGGCCAGGTATCCGGCTTGACTTTCCAATAATCATTGCATCTGTCTTTCCAAAATGGTCCAAAATCATCCTTTGTATACATAAGCTAATTTAGTATGGTGTCCTTACAGGTGTCTGTACTGATGGGTTTATGAGGGTTAATGATGACACACCTTGTGGTAAGTATATATGGAGCCTGTTTAAGAACTCACTCTCCGATAAAACGTTTAGAGACTGCAGAGGGAGCTATAAGGTCTATCGAAAAATTGTTCATTTGAGGTTTCCAAACATAAGTGACTTTGATCGGGGACCAGTACACTTGCGTTTCTATGATTAGGTGATCGCTAATGTTTCTTTTAGCTCTCTACGAGAAATACAATCAAATAATAATACACTTAATATGTCAAAATGTCCTTCCTGTTCTTATCTGAGAACAACTTTAACTTTTCCAACAGATCCATGCAAATCATTGTGTGTTTTTCAGTTGAGAATCTTGCTTACAAGAAAGAAAGTTGGATCAACAGCAAACGCCATTACAAACGTCATATCCGGAATCATCTGACTGAAGGTCATGCATCAAAGGCTGTTGACGGTGTGATGGATCTGAACCTTCAAGGCTGTACCTTTTTAGATAATCTGTATGGAGATAATCCCGTGTGGACTGTAGATTTAGGGGATAAAGTTGATGTTTCTGGTGTCATTATATATACCTGGCAGGGAGAAGGTCAAGGTTTGTACAAATTTCCTGTTTTGGGCCACTACAAATTGTTTACCACCCATTAGTCAAATTGCCAAATGCGTTGATGATATTCGGAAAGGAATGAACGCAAAGAAAGTTTGGAATTCTGGATTTGGGGAAAGGTAAATATCATTGTGTTGCTGATTATGGGCTCGATGGATGGTGTGCTTGCCTCTTCTGGAAGACCAAACATCACCTTCTATGAGGCTCTGCCACTGTCATATCGTCATTTGCAAAGGAAGGCCAGGGAATGAACATGATTGGTTTTATAAAAAAAAAAAAAATCATCACGATGTTAATAAACTATTCATTCATCATCATGTTGTAATATCACTCTTGGTTCTGTTTCAGAGAAGAGTGGTAAATCTTTCCGAGAATATATGAAGAATCTAGACAAGTTAGTGGTCTATATTGACGAAGACCTCCGAGAAGAGGACCAATCATATGCCTCAGGCAACATGTGTAATTATGTGTCCAGTTTAAACAATGCACTTTTTAACCAAAAACTCATCTTACAGTGTATCCGCCGCCATGTTGGACGCTATGTGTTAATAGAAGCCTGGGGTGTTCCAAACAGCTGGAGCAGGCTATTCAGTGCCGTCTTGTGTGAGGTTCAAGTTTTTAATTAAATATGGAACCGGAATCGTCGTGTTATTGTTGATATTTGAACTACTGGGTAACATGAGACTATAATTGTTATATTTACTGATATTGTTATTGCAATATAGGGCTGGACAATCCCAAAAACTTTTTATGCGTGAGTTAATTGTATACGAACGAGGTGCAAACTCAAGTGTGGATTTGTAAGAAATTATCAAAGAAATGTACAAAGACACTTTAGTTATGATATTTAGCAATCTATAACATCTAACATTCTCTCTTTGTACTGGACACGTTGATATTCATATAGATACATTCAAAATACAACGTGTATCGTAGTGCGATTTGGATAAAGGACAAAAAAGTTACGGGAGTACTTTGTATATGAAATTATAAAGGAGGTGGATAATTATCTCCTCACTTTGAATGTATTGTATTCAAAAAAGCCGGAGGAAATCTCAAATGAACCTTATAAATAACATTAATCCTTAATGATTGTGTTCTCGACATTGAAGTGTGTCCAGAAAACGATGTGTTCTGTATCGAAACGGAAGTGACGTACTGGTTATGGTGTCATAACCTCAGTGATGCCAAAGCCCTATATATAGGACTTTGGGTGGTGCATGATAAAATAATTACCTCTTTATGAAATGGTCTATATTAATGTTGTATATTTTTTATCGGTAGGCATTTACCACGTAGCAGATAGATATTATACATTCAGGAGTTAAATTTCCAAAGTGTCTAAAATATGAACTTAATGACGGACACACTTTAACCTCGCTGTAAAAAATTCTACCTAGAAAATTGATTAAATTGGAATATCCCTAAAGTTACCTCCCTTTCTGAAGCCTGGTAAATGCCTTATATTGTAGTTTTATAGGGTGAGTCGTTTGTAAATATATCGGAAAAAGGGAAAAGTTAACAACAAGTTTGATATTGCACGAATGTATAAACGAGAAATACTTATTATTTATTATTTTAAATTTTGGCCTTCTGATTTCATTTTACAGACCATTTTCTAAATAAAATTTCCAATAACATTTAAGTCTGAAATCGTTTATGCAAAGTCGTTTTTCTTTTATCAAATCAAAACCAGGTATATCTGATACATGTTGATTTTAACAAGGTTCTCTATTTATTTATTATATTGTATATATATTGTAACGTTATTTTTGGTTATTTCTGTTAATTTTATCTGTTCAGACCGTTCCATAATTCTTGGCAGTTTCCGTAAAACGGAAATTACATGATGGACCATTTGGTTTTGGGCCTTTTCAAGGAAACTGATTTAGAATTGGCTTGAGATTTGAACAGACAGACTTTACGGATAATCCCAGATGAAAGATATTATGTTTTGTAATGTTTTAGATTATTATCACTATGAAACGTTGTCGAAACTGAGAATTATAGATATTATTACTCTTTCCTTCAAATAAGTCCTTGAATTCAAATAAATTAAGGTTGGTTTTCTTTTTACTGATGTACACGAAAGTAATTGCAGGCAAGATAAATTGTCTCAAAACTGAAGGAAGGCAATTTGTCTTGCACCAAATGCAGCTAATTATCATGTTGGCAGCACAGATCTTGTATGGAACTAAAATTCAGGGAAATTTATCACCATTTGTTCCTATCAAAGCATAATGTGAATTAATTTTACCAATTTTGACATCAATTATACAAGTTTCTTCAAGGTTATTCTTGCAATTTAATTAAAAATGAAAGTAACTTGAAAAAAGCAGCAATAAAAATCAGGCTTTCTAAAGTGCGAATTTTAAACAAATTACTTCAATACTGTTCTATTTAACAGTAATTCCCAATGCATAATTTAAGAATCTCGCAGAAAACAAAAATACCATTTATCTGTTAAATATTTTCATTTAATATCTTAGCCAAAGAAGTAAAATATACTTTTTTGATCAAAGAGCAAAAATCATAGATATTTATATGCATTATTTAAATTTTCTAACCATGCATAACTATGTATGTATATATATAATCTATATTATATTACTCAGTGAAGCAGAACCTATGCAGAACAACTTTGTCATTGTATTAAAGTTGGGTTCACTCTTTTGCATACATATATTTTGTTTTAAAAAAATCTTAAAGACGAGCATTACCCAACTAATTGTGTATATCAATTAATGTTTGCAGAATTACATAGAGTTTGAATTATTGTGTCGAAAACCTAAAAAGTAACTGCTTTTGAAGAATTTGACTTACGGATTTTGGAGAAGCTCGTTTGTTCGTTTTAGATTAAATACAAAGGAATTAAATTGAAACATGGCCAAAAGGATCTGCAGCATGAAACATATATACGTCCCAGATAGATAAGGTGCCAAATTGGCATGAAAAATCACTACAAAAAATATAGCACTCAGGAAAAGTTTTCTCGAAGTTATCAAAGTGATTTGAAGTTTTGTTTATTCTGTACCATATTTTCAATTCCTATTCATTGTCTAAAAATATTAATGACCATTTTTATGACAAGAATTTGAATTATCAACATCCGAACTATCTGGGATGATTTTAAATTAAATTTATAATAAAACTATATATTTGTTGTTTTATCTTTGTTTATGTCCTAAGATTTCAGTTCCTAAACTACTAGGAATATCTCAATCTCATCCTTGCGAAACAGACTTTTGCAATTGTGATTGCATTTGTGAATTCGATATTCTCCAGTACACAGTCATAATGTAAGCATTGTATATGTTATATAGCACATTATGACTCATGACTCTCGTTCTGGCGATGTGAAGGACGCTTATATCTTACTCGGATTTTTGTGGCATTCTAAGTCTATTCTTAACAATGAATCACTATGCAGGTCAAATTTCATCACCTACCGTATGAGAGTCTGTTTGAAAGCAGAAAGGGACATTTGAGGTTCCATAAGGAACATTATTCAAATACTTTGGTCGGAGGTTAATTCGAGAAACACGTGTTGATTCTTATGGAATGATTAAAGAATTTACTAATATTACTGTTCGGTAT